GGACTAGAAGATGGTGAAACCAGAAGATACGCTATTTCTAAACCTAAATTATTATGCACTTACGTCGCAGAAACAGCAGATTCGAGATGATTCTAAGCGACTGAGCAGGCTAACTCGAGCCTCTCTAGGGAGTTTTCTGACAGCTTCTTCTGATACTTTTCCAACAGAATCTGAGCTATATCGTTTAACAAGTTGGGGGTGGTCACAAGCTTGGCGCAGTCGCAAAAGCATCAGAAGAATGTTTGCATAGTTTTGCTTCAAAGTTCCTGCAGCAGCATATGCCTGTAAAGAAAGAAACACCATCTTACCGACTTGACAGGAATCACTGCTAAACATATTCTTCAATGAAAACTCCTCTATGACCACAAATTTATTTTTATATCACATTATATTGCCCGCTAATGCATAAGTGATACTTATTTTCCAAAAAAATGTTGATCACAGCAATAAACCAAGGATGAACTGATAGTTACGAGCACAGAAAGAGCACCTTGAACTGAGTTTGTGAATCAGATTCAAGCTTCTTGTAGAAAGACCGCTCCTCTACCGTAAAGTCCACTTGGGTCAAATTAATTGTCTTTGGTGGTAGGTTAATTATAGGCTGACCATCAAGCAATGTTCCTAGATCGCAGATCAGAAGATAATTAGCAGATCTACCATATAAAAAGGAGATCAGAGCAAAATGTAACAAACAGAATTATATTTTTAAAAAACTTGACCTCTGTACTACCTTCAGGTGACAGCTCGACCAAAATCACAACTATTCTCATTATAAAGTATAAAAGTGATAAGCAGATATAAATATATAATCAGGAACTGTTATGAAGTCAACCCACCACCAATCCAACCACTTAAAACATTAATGAGACAGTCGAAGTACCTTTGGTACGGCGCAGCATTATAGCCCTTAGAACAGCTTGAAGCTTCTTGTAACCATGAAGGGAATTTCTGGAGATTGGAAGCTTAATTGTGTTGCAGAATGACTTGTACACAGCGTACGGATCATACTTTAAGAACCTGAAATAACTATATAAATCATCTATAGTATTTTGTATCGGTGTTCCAGACAAACACCACCTCATTTTGGCTCGAAGACCGGAACATGCTCTTGCCACCTGTGTTCTGTGATTCTTAATTGTCTGAGCTTCATCTAGTACAACTCTGAGCCACACAACTCTTGCTAGAGTACCAGAGTCAAGGTCAGGATCGTCAGCATTTTTCTTACCTCTTTTCTTACCCTTCTTAGTAGTATCCAATTCATTTTTGCGTTTCTTGTTGGTGGAGAAGCCAGAGGCAAGACCATATTTTTCGGCATTTTTTTCATCATTCTCATCCTCATCCACCAGGGGTTGCTTTGGAACTTCATTTGAAACAATAGCATATGTTGTCATTACCACATCATATTTTGCTAGTTCATCAGGATTTTTGGTCCTGTTACCGCCGTGGTAGATTAAAACAGAAAGTTTGGCTTCATCAGTAATCTTCTCATCAAGTTCTCTTGCCCACTGCCGCACAACACTTGCTGGACAAACAATTAAAGTGCCAGCAGCAGGTCTCTTCCTATTAATTCTCCGTGTTGAAGTACTCGCTTCTTCATCCTTGGCTTTCTTTAAGCCTGAACTGCCATTTACGCCATTACCATTTGATGCCTTAGACTCTGGTTTCTCAAATGCATTTCCTGACTCATCATCAGCATCCAGATCCAATGCTTCAGTCTCTTGATTGCTTAAATTCTCGGACTTTAACTTTGCCTCATGCATTTGCTTTAGGATAAGAGCAATAGTCGAGATCGTCTTACCAAGGCCCTTCACAGTAAACAAAATGGAAATTTGAGGGAAACATAATAAAATAAAATTTTAGATAGTTTAGCGGAAAGGAATTACAATTAAAAGTAACCTGATCATCAGCTAATATCCCTCCCAGACAGGGCCCAATTCTATTTTCTTTCTGAAACATCCATGCCAACGCAATTCTCTAAGAAACAACAATGTTTAGCACACATGACCATTCCGACAGATACTGAAAGGTGAACTAAAATATGAATACCTGATGCTTCATAAGGGGAACTGAAAGAAGACCGGCAGGTAAATCGAGCTCAATCTTGGGTTGATTCATATCCTGCAGGAAATACATACTTGATTATTACATTATTCGTATCATGCAATTATGCGAAAAACACCAAACTCATAGCATGGAAATAATAACCTTGATGCAACAGTCGGAATCAAGAGATGAATTGCACATAGTATAAAAACCACAAAGGAGACTAAAAATGGAATTGAACAAGTCAGAAATTGAGATAATGATATATACCTGAAGTGCAGCCTGATAGATCAGCCTCTCGTCATTCTCTGAATTCCTATCTTCACCCATTCCATTCCTGTGCATTGGATCACTTGAACCATTAAAATGT